CATGCTTGTTCTAGCCACATTTTTCCCCAGATAGCTGAAAGCTATAGGGGTTCTAACTTCTAATAAAGAGGGGGAAGTGATTTGCGAGATTGATGGGCTGGTGCTAAGGGGCGTGCAGTTTGGGGTGCTGGTTTTTGCGGATTGGGGTGCTGTTTGAGGTGCTGATGGCAGTGCGGGCGCATCTTTTCAAGATTGACGGTAGGGTGCTAGGGGGCATGCAGTTTGGGGGTGCTGGTGCAGGTGCTGTCTTGGGGGTGACGGTGTTTTTGCATCTTGACGGTAGGGTGCACGGGGGCATGCAGTTTGGGCAGGGGCATGCAGTTTGGGGTGCTGCTGCAGGTGCTGTTTTGGGATGCTGTTTGGGGTGCTGTTGGAGGTGCTAGTGATAGCGCGGGTGCTCGATTGACGGCCGGGTGCTCTTTGGGACGCTCTGGGGGGTGCTGTTGGAGGTGCTGGTGTGCAATCATTGCTATCTGGGGTCTATGCTGGTGTAATTTTGCTTGGTCTAGCCACTATTTTTTTGGGAAGGTGTGGGCTTGTGTTTGTGTATGCGCGGGTAGACCCTTAGTCCCTTAGTTGCGGGTCCGCGAAGAGTCACGACGAGAGACACACTGGCGCCACGACCTTTTTTCTAGCCTCATCCCGTTGCGCGCTCTTCTCAGCATTTTGGGCAGGACGCCTATCGGAGATTATCACAGCCCATCTTAAGATGGTCCCATCAGCTGGAGGGCAGTAGGGCGGAAATCAGATGATGTGCAGTATACAGGGAGCACCCCGTAATTGCTCTATTTCAATGGGTTTGAAGGTCCGGGCCACCTAAGAGCTTGTCCGTGCCATGATTGCCCAGGTGCGGCAAAGACCCGGTGTTCTATGACTTGTTCATTGCAACCTGGCTTGCCAGCGTCCAACACTTTGCCGTTTGGTGTGCACGCCCCCCTCCCCCCCCTCTCTGCGTGTCACGGCCAGGAAAACACGGACCGGAGCTTGGTGCCCGTCCCGGTGCGGATCCTGAACCTGGTCAGCAGAGGCCAGCGGCCCAACCTGAACCTGGGCGACACCAACGATGACGTGTTGGTGCGGCGCTTCCTGATGTGCGACGCCGTGTCCGGCCGGGAGAGCGGGCCCGGCGGCGCTGGGGAGGCGTATTTGGTGGGCACGGGCTACCTACGGGCGGTGCGCTGGGCTGCACACCTGGCGGTGCAGGTGGAGGTCCGCCCAGAGGGCGATGGAAGGATCTTCGTGCCGGTCTTGAGCATCGCTTACGCCGAGAAGAGGGCAGACAACTTGCAGGAGGATACAACGGTGCCTGGGAGCTTTGCAGCGGAGTACTCCATGGATGCCTCTGGCTACTGGACAGCTGTGGTGGTCTTCTTTGTGCTGTTGATTCTGCTCATTCTGGTCCTCATGACCTTCCGTCTTTGTGTGCTGAATGCAAGGTATCCAAGCATCGTAGTGTATCCAGATCCACACTTGTTTGCCCCAAGGGGCGTGCTGCAATTGCTGGTGGTTTGCTCCACCTTTTGCTCTACCCTATTCTGGTTCCAGTACTTCATGACTCTTTTCTGGCTTATCCTGTTCAAAGGCCAAGAGTTTCCCTTGCTGCTTCTGCCCAGCGCGTTGAGCGGCGGCCAGTACGAAGCCCACGACGTGATGCTGGTGGTGGTGTTTTGCTTGGTGGTTCTCACCGTGGCCCTGGGCCTTTGGAAACAGCTCCGCGTCTTCATCTTCCTGGTGGATTGGGAGCGGCCGCGCGACGGCGAGAAGCTGCCGGTCGTCCCGGCGCAGCCGGTGCAGGCACCAGCGCCGCCTCCTCCGCCCGGCGCCCCGCCCCCGCCTCTGCCCGCCACCGTGGGCGCGCCGTTGCTGGGCGCCGGACCAGGACCGCAAGCGCCAAACCAGGCGGGGCCGGACATGGTGCCGGACTCTGGCATCTCGGCATGGCGGAGCCTCTTTGTCTGCAACGAGCTGAACGAACGACTGACGGCCACACGAGCGGCGCCTGAGGTGACCTGGCTGTCCATGGTAGCTCTGCTGGAGGGCTGTGAGTGGGCCAACGCGGCAAGATGGACGACGCACTCTGATCATCAGTCAGTCACATCGGCGGAGTTGAATCCATTCCTTCAATTTTCATTAGGCATCAGCGTTTGGATCTTTGTTTTGCTTGTGCAATCCCTGGTGCAGCGCATTGCGAGCATCTTCTCTGGACATGACCTGAACGACTTCATCGACGTTTGCTCCATAGCAAACGTTTCCGTGTTCATGATGGACGAGTCTTTGGTGATGTTATTGGCAGCGTTGAAGCTTTGATTACGTTTTTTTTTTTTTTTTTTTTTGCGGGGGCTTGGTGTCTGAGTGGTGCATCGCAGCGGCCAATGTTCTAGGGGTAACCTCCCCATTCTTTCCAGGGATCCTTCTTTCTAGAAAACCACCAAAAACCCTGGGGAAACGGCTGGTTTTTGAAAAGAACGATGGCTGAAAAGAATGGGGAATCAACCTTGTTTGTTTGTTTGTTTGTTTGTTTGTTTGTTTGTTTGTTTGCTTGCTCTGTGTCATTTCATTTCCTGTTAGCATTTTTGCACATTTTTGCTTTTTATCGTTTGCTTTGCCATGCTGGGCTGCTGTGGTTGCATTCAGACAACGGCACGGTTTCACGTTTCATTCGCAAATAGGTGTTGACCACAGGGCCAATTGTATTCGATACACTTGACAAAGCAATGGCCGTGCAGAGAACATGCCGCATCAATCCAGGAACCCTTTCATGGCTACTACATCCATGGCAAGGCTCCGAGCAGCCGCGGAGATTGGAGCCACACAGAGTAGCTTGGCGCAGAAATCAAGCGGTGAGGTAACCCCTGAAGTGTGGGTTTGGATTGGTGGGGACTGGATTTGGATTTGAAAGGGTTCTTGTAGAGGGTAAACAGGAAACCCCTCTGTTTCACCACCAATCCGGGCCCCAAACCAGCCAATTTGGGGGAAGCCGGGCTCTGGGATGGGGATGGGGGAAGGGAACACAGCTCATTGGACTGCCTTCGTGGTCATTTCTGGTCACGTCTTGCTCGCATAGGCTGGAGCGCGTGCTGCACGACGAAGACAGAGGTATTGGCTTCAGCCGGGGCTTGAGTCCTGATGGATGCCAAACCTTCGAGATGTTTTTGCCGCCGGACACCGCGGTGCAGCTCGCCAACGGCGCCTTGTCCGGAGACGCCCATGCTGATTTTGCCGGCTTTTGCCGGCCATTTCTTTGTGGCTGACTCATTTGGCCATGGGTCAAAAGCCCGTACCTCCAGTGGACATCCCAATCCCCACTGAAATAGACTAAAATGGGTGGTGCACCTACCCCAAAATGCCACCCTTGGCCATGTCCCCGCCGGCCAAGGCAGCGCGGCCCACTTCCGCCAGGAGCTGGGTAAGGTCTTCGTAGATGTGCAGGTGACGCAGGACACCATCGCCAGGCGCGACCCGCCGAAGCCGATCTCCCAGGATGTCGCGCAGATGTCCCAGCACCGCTGCAACGTGCAGTCGCTGGTGGATGCCATGGTCAACGCGGTGATGCGAGGCAGGGTGGTTGTTCGTGCGGTGTGGGAGGGCAAGGGGCGACGTTGCACGGCATGGGGTGAGGTCTGGCGCAGTCCAGCACCCAGTTGGTTGGAATAAGGTGGCACTAGTTTAGATGGGTCTTATATATTCCAATTGCCGGGAAAACCCGCCAAGTTTTAGAAGGTGCATCAAAAGGCACAAAGGCCGCAGTTGCTTCAACCGGAGTTTTCGAGCATGCGGCCGCGGCTCGCATCCACGCTGCAAACTCATGGTAGGTGCCGGGGACGTGCTGCAGGTCCGGAGTTCTTTCAGCTGGTTCTGGGGAATGGGCCCAACTGGCGGCGTGGCCGCGCTGCCGCACCCGGTGTTCTACAAGGAGACGCCGCCTTGCGAGAGGCGTCAAAAAGGCGCAGGCTGCGAGGCTTCCATGGGGGAGGGAATCGTCGAATCAAATCACGAGATGGGAATGTGGAGTGTGCACTTCACATGTTGCTGTGAAGGACCAAGATGGCATCTCCCATCCGAATGGCCTCGGTTGGTCTGCAACCCTGGCCTACGGTGCAGAAGTGCGATTCTGCGGCGTAGGCGATTCGAAGGCACTAGATTTGATCCTTGATGTGTGGTAGGTGGGCCAGGAAGCAGTCCATAGGTTTCGCTGTTGGGAGCGGATAGCTTGGCCTTGAAGCACCCGCTTTTTCAGTTGACCACTTGGCCTTGACCACCTGGCTTCTTTCCCCCTTCCATTCGAAGCCCGAGGTATCCCAACGGGCTTCGAATGGCACCTGGGCCTGCTGGAGTTGCTGACGTTCTCCTTGCTTTGGCGCTTCCAGGGCTCCATCGGCCTGGCGGCGGGCGTGGCTTACCTGCTGAACCGCCTGGTCCTGGGGACCTACGCCTGGGCGGGCAAGGCCCGCCTGGCGCACACCACCATCATCAACGGCATGTTCCTGATTTGAGGAAAGCTGGCTGTGGTTGTCAAAGCCGTTTTGGGATCCATTTTGGGGACAGGTGAATTCACCACCCATCTTAGGACCTATTTTAGTGGGGATTGGTTGATGTTCACTGGGGGCTAACTGGACCCATGGCCAGCTGGCACCTCGGTGCCCCGCGCGCTCGGTCGCCGGTCAACCCGGTTGGGTTGCGGAAGGTCCAGGAGTCCAGGACCAGAAACGGGGGGTCTTTGCACGACTTTCTGAGAAACCGGGCCACAGGTGCCCGGTTCCAGCCCGGGCCTGTACAGTCCAGCCCTGTCTGGTTTCGCCGCCGGGGAGGCGGTCGCAAAAAACCTTGGGATCGCACGAAAGCCGGCTTGAAAGCCGCTTGCGTTGAATGCCCTTCCATTTGCTTAAGATGTTTTTCTATGTTCCCACTGGTAGTTTTAAGAGGGAATCTATGACTACTGGATTTTTTTTTCCAGAGGGCTCCTGGCCCCATTGCCTCAGGGCCTCAGCCTCAGCCCGCAGGCCGTGAAGACCGCAACGCAGGAGCTGCACGAGCAGCTCCAGGAGGGCATGAAGTCCCAGCTGTCGGATGTGAAGCTGGAGCCTTAGAGCCATTGGCTGAGTCAGGGGTCTGTATACCCATTGTAGGAGGAGGAGTCCAGGGGAAGAAAACGAAAAACACGCGCAAGCCTCTAAGCCTACCCTTGCTCCCGATGCGGTGCGTATACCTCCCGAATGTGCCTTGAAAAGGAACAACACCATCTGCCGGGCCATTTTGAAATGAGTTGCCTTAAGTAGTGGCGATATTTGGAGGGGACCCTGTGAGACTGTCAGCAGCCATGGCCCAGGCGGCACTTCCAGAGCGCGCTGAGCAGCATGCAGGAGAACGTGGGCCAGGTGGCAACAGACCTCGGGCGCATGAGAGAAGATGTGGGGAAGCCGCAGGCCCAGACATGACATGCGCCCATAAATCGGGAACATGCCGGCAGATTGATGGCGTGAAGTCTGTCGGGCGGCAGGCTGCCCTTTCCCTGTGTCAAAGCGCCCATGCTGACCGAGGCTGAAGGCTACTCCGCCAGAGGTGGTAAGATGCTCAGCATTGCTCGGCCTTCCTGGCCGGTACGTGCCATGAACAGCATTGACTTTGATTTAGTGAAAGCCTCGTTCCAGTTTGACTAGGTGCGTGTCACCACTGGCGCCAACATCATAGAATTAACTGACGGGGGCATTGCTTGCCATGACCAGCTCATTCACTTCTGCTGCCCTGTACCCCACAAGCCTTGCTTGTGGCCATGAAGCGAGGTTGTGAAGCCTGCCGTTTGCTCAGCTGCTGGCTGGCCTTGGCACGCGCAGCTCCCTGGAACTGTTGCACGCATCGGCACTGAGGCCGAGCCCCCGCCAGAGCCCAAAGGCACGCCACCTGCTGGGGAATCATGTGATGTTTCGGTGGTGCGTCGGTCGTTCAGTTCAGTTTGATGGCATGAAGTTTGACCAGCTCGTTCAGGCGTGGCCTTTGATCCGACTTCCCTGGAAAAGCGAATCGACGAGAAGCCGCTCGGCAAAGCGTAAGGCGAGCCACGGCACTTTTGGCAAGAAAAAGTGCACCATGCACGTTTCTCAAATCTTTCATCACGTGCTTGTTACGTTTTGGCAGTTGCGGCTGGCATTCATGCCTTACGTGGGTCTCAATCCCTTGCTGAGGATGTCGGAGCTGCTCCAGGAACACAGGCACGGACACTTTTCGGTTTCACTCGGCGAGCTAAGTGGCAGATTGCCCTTCGCTACTTCCAAGTGTAACCCATCGGGTGTTGTTGGTCATTGTTGTGCCACCAATGTGCGACCAGCTGGCTCGCAGACCATATTTCGCCATTCAAACATGGGCGGCCAGCCAGTTGCAAAATAACTGTGCTGGTCATACTCGGTGCATGGAGAAGGGTTCCATTGAGCATCTGGGTGGTATCCATGATTCTCTTGTTTTCAAGAGGGAGGCATGCAGCAAATCCAAGATGCTTCGCGCAAGCAAGCACAGTCGCAGTTTCGAAAGGCTTCTTCGCTGATACAGGTTCCCTGGTCGTCTTATTGCGAGGTATGCCATCGCCCCAAACCAGTTTGCGTTAGGTCGCAGCTGCTGGCCAAAGTGGAGGACTTGGCTAAGACCAAAGCGGAGAACGTCGAGAAGCCGGAGAAAGAGGAGAAGCCAGAGGCGGCCAGTGCTCTGAGCGTGTTGAATGTAGTGACATACGGGTGTGGCTCAAAATTCAAGAGGGGTTGCGGAATTGGTCTTTGTCTCCATCCAAGGGGCCCAAAAAGTTGGTGCCACTTTTTTTTGAGGCACAGCCATATATGGCCATGGTTCAAAACCAATGGTACCATTTTGGGATAGGTGCACCACCCATGTTAGTCTCTTTTAGTGGGGATGTTCACTGGCAGACGTTTGTCCTGTGCGCGCCATGAAGCTGATGCAAACCATGAGCTCATTCAATGTTTACACTGGTGCCTGAGGCGAGTAGTCGAGTCGTGGTGTCTAAAATTCCAGGACACCGGGCTCACAGAGGTGCTTCAGCAGCTGCGTTTGTTGAAGGAGGCCAGCGGGGGGGTGGGCAACGGACGGAAGCCTCACCAGCAAGAGAACACCTGAGAGCGCATTCCCATGTGCCATGCACTTCAGGATGTGCAGAAGCAGCTGGCCGCTCAGGCTGAAGAGGCCAACCGGCCTTGCTTGGCGTTGGCCATTCACAGCTGTGATTCGTCAACACGGGTAAGTAAAGGTCAACCACAAATTGCGTGGTAGCTCTTTACATGGGTTTGGGGTCACCATGTTTTGTACCAGGTTTTGAGATTGACTCACTTGAGATGCCTTTCCATTTGCTGAGAGCGACAGAGAGGTCTCCAAAGCGACGGCAGCCAGCCTGGCGGCGTTCAAGGAGCGCCCGGTGGTGCAGCAGGTGGGGTGGGCTTAGGCTGTTTAGTGGGTGGAAACGAATCCAGTAAAAGGTTGCAGAAGTGTAGGGTGAGGCGGAGGTCTGGCCGAGCCGTGTCAAAGTAAGGCGACTTTCTGTGGGGTTTCTCGGTCGCTTCGAATCGAGCCGGCGAGGCTCCGCCGGCGCCCAAGCCGCTGCCGGCGCCGGCCGAGCGGCCGGCCGAGCAGCCGGCGCCGGCCGAGCAGCCTGCGTCGGAGATGCCGCAGCCCAAGGCGGAGCCAAAGGCGGAGCCCAAGGTGGAGCTTGAGGAGCCACAGGCTGGGCCGGGGGGGAGGAATGAGTTGGAATGACCCCCAAAAAAGCAATCCCCTATGGTGTCCTTTAAGGGAATCTTTAGGTTCATGGCCAGACTCGTCCCAAGATTTCGGGAGAAGCGCGGCGTGCAGGCGGAAGCGCCATCTGCCCCAAAAGCGCCAGAGCAGCCGATGCTGCCGCTGCCAAAAAAGCCACCCCCACTGGAATTGGAAGATGTGCCTTGGCCGCACGACTTTCTTGGCATGTCGAATTCGCTGCGTTGGCCAGCCTTGCCTCCCGTGCCAGGCTCCGGACATGGCAGACTTTGATTGGTCCAAGATGATGGGGCCCACTTCGCCGGCCTTCCAGAAAGCGTTGGAAGAAGGACTCGCCAAGTGCAGCTGCTTGGTTGTTTCGCCGCCTCCCGTCAGCTTCGCTTTTATGTTGAATCATCTTGTGGTTCCTAAAGCGGTGCTCCTTTTGGAAGACTGCTGCAAGTCACAGCGGGCAGCTGGCGAAATGAAAAGGGACGAGCAGAAGAGAGAAGGGTTGCGGTTGAGAAGCATGGAAGCATGTTTAAATCTAAGTTGGCATTTGCCAGCTACGAGGCGACAAGGGGCAACAGAATCCCAACCCCTCCAAGCCGTGCCTACAATGTAAGGCTCCGACGCGGAGCGGCTGCGCTTCATGATCTCCATGACCGGGGAGCGCACTCGGCCGAGAAAGCCAACAGATGGGCCGCGAGACTTGGAGAAGACTTGGGGAGGCACGTTGTCCCCCAAGGATGCCAAGGCCGCGATGATGCCGCGGGAGCCGCCAGAGCCGCGGCCGACGCCTGAGGTAAAGGCGCCTGACATGAAGGCGCCTGCGGCCAAGGCCAAGGAGACACGTGAGACCTTGGTGACCCGACGTGCCTTTGCCAGTGGCCTGCAAGGATTTCTGCAAAGGTGCAGGCCAGATTTGTTGGCTGCCCCAGAGGCACCTCCTGCAACGCTGTCTGTGACTGCTTTGATGGAGTCTGCTGCTGCACAGCCGCTTATTTCGAGTCAGCCGCCCCTGCCCCCACCCGGCAAAGCGCCCAGCGGATCTGAATCTTTGCTGAGCGCACCTGCAAAGGCACTTCCAGCAAGCGCTCCCTTGGCGCTCCCGCCTGCGGGTGCTGCTCCCCTGGCACTGCCGCCGCCATCCACTACAACTCCGTTATTACAGCCGCCAACGATACCCAAAGCATTGCAATCAACAGCTGCAGTATCTCAGCCAGTGCAGCCTGCTGCTCCTGGTGCACAGCCGCCAGCTGCGCAACCACCCGTTGCAAAGCCACCTGCCACACAACCGGAGATGGTGCAGCCACCTGTTGCAAAGCCACCTGGAGTGCAACCGCCGCCACCTTCTACGCAACCACCTGCAGCAAAGCCACCTGCAGCACAGCCACCTGCAGCAAAGCCACCTGCAGCACAGCCACCTGCAGCACAGCCACCTGCAGCACAGCCACCTGCCGCGCAGCCACCTACTATGCAGCCACCTTCCACACAACCACCTGCAGCAAAGCCACCTGCAGCACAGCCACCTGCCGCGCAGCCACCTACTATGCAGCCATTTTCCACACAACCACTTGCAGCAAAGCCACCTGCAGCGCAGCCACCCGCAGCGCAGCCACCCGCAGCGCAGCCACCTGTGGCAAAGCCACCTGCCGCGCAGCCACCTGCAGCAAAACCACCTGCAGCACAGCCACCTGCAGCGCAGCCACCTGCCGCGCAGCCACCTGCAGCGCAGCCACCTGCAGCGCAGCCACCTGCCGCGCATCCACCCACAGCGCAGCCCCCTGCTGGCCAGCCTGCAAAGCCGCCATCAGCACCACCCATGCAGCCCTTGACAGCCAAACCTTCAGTTCCACCGGGTCAGCCCCCTCAGCCGCCTTTGCCACAGCCACCAGCCCCGCCAGGTAAAAGTGTTGGGCCGTTGCCTCAGAGCTGCTCGCAGCGTCCCAAGAAGAGAGACAGTTACATCATCGCCAGAAAATGGGAGCACGTTTCTTTCATCGTCAGGGAGTGCTGTCTCGTGCGGAGACTAAGTTGCGGCATGGATGAGGCAAGTCCCCCTCAAGCTGTGAGGATTTTCTGCGTCCAGGCCGGCGCCAGCTCCCAAGCCGGTGCCGGGGCCGCCGCCCGGCGCGCCGCCCGGCGCGCCGCCCGGCGCACCGCCGCCCGGCGCGCCACCCAAGGCGATGGGGGGAGATGGTCATGGAACACCTGACGAAAGCAAAAGGGCTGTGGTTCAACCAATGGTACCATGTTGGGGTAGGTGAAT